AATGGTCTTTTCCCAGATCATTGCTACAAGTCACACAACTGTATTTTGCTAATGTTATAGCAAAAAAATCCCTAAAAGGATTTTATGCTAAAATTTTACAAATGGCTCTTCCAATGGAGGAACTGCATATATGGCTAATAATAAAAAAAAATTGTGGAGCATAACAAGGCTCCTTCAAAGCAACTTATAAAAGTTGCAAGCAGATCCAGATGCAAATGGATCTGGCCTGATAACACCAAGCAGACCTTTGCTAAGGCAAGGTAAAAAAGCCTTTGCAATGCATTATGAAAAAACCCGACCTATATATATTTGGGGTCGAGTGTGTGTTTATGCTTTTTTTCACAGAAAGAAAATAAAAGCTGGACCCCTGATGATGTCGAGGCTGCTGACATCCCACAGAGGACTTCCAGAGGCCACTGGAGAGGTCCTTGGTCCGGCCTTCCCTGCTCCCAAGGAGAAGAGTGCCTGATAACAGAACCTGCTACGCCACTCTGCAGGGTGTCATCCTGCCTCCAGAGTCCAGGGAGACCAGGCCGAGATAAGTGCCAGGATGTGCTTCAGATAGCTGAATCCAGCTCACCTCACCCAGGAATCCTACCTGCCCTGAAACACAAATGCTGAGCTCCTTCTGCAGTTTGAACTCTGGTTTGCTTTGAAGCTGAGATGCAGACTAAACATCTGCTTTAATCTTTGGGACACAAAACTCATTTTAATTAAAATATTAACACCTCTTCACTTAAGAAGGGGGAAGTTTGGGGTTCCTGTCACTGTTGCTCAGAGACTGGAACTGGTGGTATTTGATAACAACAATGTATGTCATTGTACTCTTACTGCAATTGATCTAATGATATTTGTAACTGCCTATAGATGTTGGGAAAGGTTTGACACGTGCTGTAAAATGTTTGGGTTTAATGCATATGTTAAAAAATTTTAGGTTTTTATCCCTTTTACACTGCCCTAATTTTTGGCAGGCAGCACACGTAATTTTATGTGGAGTAGGCATTTAGGAAGGAGGATACCTTAGACCAGACTAAAAGGTGAATACTGGGTTTGGAAAAAGCCCTTTCTTCTTGTCATGAAGATGGAGTTATTGGTGCCCAAAATTATATCATTATATCTTTTGTTTGAGGAGCTCCTCACAGTTTTTCATTAATGATAGACTCAGGGGCCCAATGACGGGAGTTAGTGTGGATCCTCACCTGAATAGCACACCATACAGAGGCTGTAAAGGCCGGCTCAACATGGCATGGTGCCAGGTACGAGGAACGCTCTCCACATGGCCTAAGACAGGATGCCCTGTGGTCTGCTTACTTTAATCCTGCTAGATACCTTTTATTTGAGAAGCTCCAAGGAACTAATGCTAATCATNGAAAAGAAAGAAAAAGAAAAAAGACCTGGTCCCCACTCAACCTAAGAATCATCGGGCACTCCTCTGTTCCCAGGAGAGGTAAATTGCTTCACCATTCGAGAGGAGGGTCTCTACTTGTCCCAGTTCCTTCTCTTTTAAATATGACACCAGGGTTGACTCTGACTTGGTGCCCTCCACTTAATAACTGCTTGCCTTTATATAAGAGAGGGGGAATATGTCACGAGCCATTTCCCCTCTAAAAAACAGGAACCATCACTCTGGGGAGTCTGCAGGGAACCTCACACCCATAATTATGTTCTATTGAGAACCTGCCTCACATCCAATTAACTGCTAATCTGTTAGCGGAACCCGCCTCACATTCCAGCTATCCAGGGAACTAGGTGTGGCAACTTGTGACTTCTTTGCCTACCTGTCCGAATGTAACTTGTCCTACGTGACCTGGACCACGCGGCGAGATCCTGTGCCCTGTCCCCCATTCCTTACCATATATAAACTGTAACCCGTCCCTAATAAACGGAGGCTTTGACAAATCTGCTTGGCCTCCTTCTTCTGTCTTAGCTCATTCCCTTCCAGGTAGCGTCCCTCCGAGACCCTGGAATAACTGATTGCAGGGTGGGTTACAACCCCTAGACTGAGTAACCCACCCAACGCAATTGACATATCAGAATTACACCTGACTTCACAATGGAAACCATGAAAGCCAGAAGGTCTTGAATAGATGTGCTGAAGATACTAAGAGACCATGGATGCAAGCCCAGACTACTATACCCAGCCAATCTTGCATTCACCATTGATGGAGAAAACAAGATATTCCAGCAAAAAAAAATCAGATTTAAACAATGCATAGCCACAAACCCAGCCTTACAGAAAATACTAAAAGGAAAACCACAAACCAAGGAAGCCAAAAACACTCATAATAACACAAGCATCTAACAACCCTCCACAAGCACAACTCAAGGAAGGGAAACACACAAACACTACCACCAGAAAAAATAACTGGAGTTAGCAACCACTGGTCATCGATATGATTTAATATTAATGGACTCAGTTCACCTATAAAAAGGCACAGGTTAAGAGAATAGATACAAAAACAGGATCCGACATTCTTCTCTTTACAAGAAACACACCTCAGTCTCAAAGACAGACACCTACTCAGAGTAAAGGGTTGGGAAAAGGTTTTCCAATCAAATGGACCAAAGAAACAAGCGGGTGTGGCTATACTAATATCTAACAAAATTGACTTCAAACTAAAATCAATCAGAAGAGATGGAGAAGGACACTTTATACTCATAACAGGAACATTCAACAGGATGAAGTCTCAATCCTGAATATCTACGCCCCTAATATAAAAGCACCCACATATGTAAAAGAAACATTACTACAACTCAAAGCATACATCAAACCCCACACTGTAATAGTAGGAGATTTCACCACTCCTCTCTCACCAATGGTCAGGTCAATCAGACAGAAACCTAATAGAGAAATAAGAGAATTAATGGAGGTAATGAAGCAAATGGACTTAACAGACACCTATAGAACATTCCACCTAAACAGAAAAGAATATGCCTTCTTCTCAGCATATCATGGAACCTTCTCAAAAATTGATCACATAATTGGTAACAAAGCAAAAATCTATAGATACAAAGAAATTGTAGTAACCACCTCTGTACTATTGGATCACCATGGAATAAAGCTAGAATTCAGCAACAGTTCTACCCCGAGAAAGCCTGCAAACTCATGGAAACTGAATAGTCAACTACTTAACCACCCCTGGGTCAAGGAAGAAATAAAGAAAGAAATTAAAGTCTTCCTTGAATTTAATGAAAATAAAGACACAACATACCCAAACCTATGGGACACTATGAAAGCAGTGCTAAGAGGAAAGTTCATAGCACTCAGTGCCCATATAAAGAAAACAGAGAAAGCACACACTACAGACTTAACAGCACACCTGAAAACTCTAGAAAAAAAAAAGCAGACTAACCCAGGAGGAGTAGAAGACTGGAAATAATCAAACTGAGGGCTGAAATCAACAAAATAGCAACACAGAAAACAATCCAAAGAATCAATGAAACAAAAAGCTGGTTCTTGGAGAAAATCAACAAAATTGACTAACCCCTATCCAAACTAATCAAACGGCAGAGAGAGAACACACAAATTAATAAGATCAGAAATGAAAATGAGGACATAACTACAGACACAGAGGAAAGTCAGAGAATCATTAGATCTTACTACAAAAGCCTGTATGCCACAAAACTGGAAAATGTAAAAGAAATGGACCACATACCAAAATTAAATCAAGACCAGGTGAACAATTTAAATAGACCTGTAAGTCACAAGGAATTAGAAGCTGTCATCAAAAACCTTCCTACAAAAAAAAAA